TAGAATTTCATTATAGTAAAGTAAAAACTCAAACCGAATCCACATCATAGATTGGTCCAACAGGAATAAGAAAAGCCCATTGAAATGTTTAAGCCCACTGATCAAACCCTATTATATATACATTGATTTTTCTTTTTGGTCCAATTAATTAATTAATTATAAAGACAAAAATGGCCTTACTATTTTCACTATCGTTGCATAAAATTTAAAACGAAGAACAGTACACAAAACTCTACCATATATTAACGGACGATAGATACATTAACCATATCCGAGACCCATCCGTCTTCCCATAATTTCTCACACCAGAACCAACCTTAATCCAACTTTTCACATACTACCTCCATCCTAGGTATTTTTCATGAAGTTTTGCACGAGCGTGATTTACGTTGTGATAAGAGATGATCTGTGGCAAAATGAGTTCATTACGCTCACCGAATTTTAACTTAAAAGTTTGACAAAATTCCGAAATTAAACTTGTATTCACCATTTCAAAGGTAAAACTTTATTTGGGTCACCACATTTTTTTTCTTCTTATTAACCACAATAGCAAATGGTTACATAAGCATAGTGCACTAATTCCCAAATTACAGCAATGGGGGGGAAAAAAACAGAGAGCAGTGCTGCTAGATCACGTCGCTGCAGGTAAATTCAGTCCTTAAATTGTAACATCCATGAAGTTGTAGAACTCAAATCTCAAGTAACAAAGCTTGTTGTGGAATTCAGCGCCGGCGCGGTGGTAACATCCATGAAGAACAATCTTTCTCGCCATCCTGAGACACTGCCCGCAGGCCTCTGGTTCATCCGGCCACCGGCAGAAGGCAGCGCCGTAGACGTGAGGATCGTCGGCAGGGTATTGGAACCTCGTCGGCAGGGGATTGGAAGCCGCCGTGTTCTGAACCTGAAGAATTTGATGATGCGGAAGATGAAACGACACACGAACACGAGATTTTTACGTGGTATCCTCGATCAATTGAATTGATCGAGACTAATCCACGGTGAGCTCGGAAGAGCTCACGGCTGACGTTTTATTATGTGAGGACTACATTGTGACGGCTTGCTTACGACAATCTCGTAGCTAAGCTTATATAGAGAGACTTAGGGGTTAAAACCCTAATGACAACCAAGTTTCCTTCTTTTACTTGAACAAGGAAACAAGGGACTTGTATGACAAGGAATTAATTACTTTTGACTAAGTAATTAATATCCTCAACAGAACCAGATTCTGAAGCACCGCCGTAATTCCCGCCTTGAGGTCGCGGTCGCCCTTGAAGTACATGTCGGGGCTGCAGGACAGAGTGTGGGGATTGTTGGCGCCGGTGAATCCCGGCCGGAGAAACCACAGCAGCAGCACCACCGACCACCGCAGCATCAGCGAGCTCCTACTTTTCTCCATACCTCTGGAGCAATGTAGTTAAAATCTACGCTTTAAAGTTTAAAAAGTTTACGTTTTTACGCTTTTACTTCTACGATAAAATCCCGATTTTGATTGGAGTAACTGCTAGTTTGATTTCTGTTGAGTGCAATTGAACTCGATCGTTACTGAACGTGAGTATATATATAGCTCAGCCACTGTCTTGTCTCTTGCGGTGTCGCTGAAGGAAAGAGTGAGAACTGAGAACTGATCTAGAGTCCCTGAAACTCAAATCTCTGGCAGGAGATTCGTGTTGGCCGGCTTCTGATTTTTGTTTGAAGAATCTGTAGAAGCAAATCAATCCTATCAATTTCCTGAATCTTTGGTTTAAGTGTTTGTTTGTTTCTGTTGGAAGATGGGATCTGGCGTCGGCATTTCCCTTCTCTTTTTCATTCTCATCCGTCTCCTACTCCCCTGTGATAGTGAATCTTCGTTTAGATGAGGAAATGTAACGATGAATTTAATCTAAGGGTGCGTTTGGATAAGTGTATTTTAAATGTAAGGTATTTGAAATACTAGCATTTGAAATGGATGTATTTGAAGTATTAGCATTTGAAATACATGTAATTCAAATTTATTGTTTGGATACTCATTTGTAATTTGTTTGTATTTTTGTATTTATGATTTTCAATTTCAATTTTTAATTTTATGGTCACTTACTACAAATTTTGGTAAATTACAATTTGGTACCCAAAATTATTTTTTCTTACAATTTAGTACCTAAACTTTTAAACTTTTACAAAAAGGTCCTGCAATTTTGATGGTAAAATTACATTTTGGTACCTTTATATGTTTGCCTCACACTATAGTACCTAAACTTTTCATATTTTACAAATAGGTCCATTCTTTTGTTAGGAGGTATTTCAAATCACTAGTTGTTGAAATGTATTTGAAGTTGACAAAAAATACACTAGACATGTATTTGGAAGTCACCCCATGAATTTGACACAAATCCAAATACCAAATGTAATTAATATCCAAACACATGATTTGGTATTTGAAAATCCAAATCACAAATACCAAATCCAAATCCTTGTATCGAAACGCACCCTAAGGGAATTTTCCTTTCCTGGACAGAGAGCACTTCCTTGCTTCACCTCTGACTACTGACTTGGCTTCGTATATTGCTCTCCCCTCTTCCTATCGGTCGAGTGACTTTGTTCCTCTCACATTCGTTCTTGTTGCTTGCTTCGCTCCTTCTTGAACTTCCTTTGCTTCCTTGACGAGGAACTGTAACGATGAATTTAATCTAAGGGGTTGTTTGGAAGTTGTCGAATGTTAAATCGTTGCATTGTAATGAATCACAATAATGTAAATACATGTATTTGTACAATGGATGCATTTCAATAATACAATGTTTGGTTGATGAGATTCTACATGATGTATTGACTTGCATAAAGTTACTTTTATAGGGAAATGTGACATTTACCCTCAACTTTTAGCACAAGACAAAAACTAACAAGGATATACATGGAAAGAAAAAGTGGACACAAATCTAAGGGTTCGTTTGGAAGTTGCGTATGTTAAATCGTTGTATTGTTACGAATCACTATGATATAAATGCATGCATTGATACAATAGATGCATTTTGAAATTACATTGTTTGGTTGTTGAGATTATAATTTATGAATTGATTGTTATAAAGTTACTTTATAAGGAAATGTCATATTTGTCCTCCACTTTTAATATAAAACGAAAAGAACTATGGACATTATTGGAAAAGGTAGAGGTGCTCAATTATTAAACCAACAATCACAACAATCTCAACTTTTAGTTGAGATTGTACAATCCCTCATTTTTGTTGATTGTTGGTGGGACCCACACAAAACAATACATGCATTGTTTTGCAACTTGACACTTCCAAACGTTGCATTGTAGACAATGCATGTATTTAACGAATACAACACTAACAATCGCAACTTCCAAACAACCCCTAAAATCCCTATACACAATGCATGTATTCAATAAACATAAGTCTAACAATCACAACTACCAAACAACCCCTAATTGTCACATTTTTAGACAATTGGACCAAATTAATCTTTTTGTCAACTAGAAAAATTTAGATGGATTAATTTGTATGGGGTCGTTTAGAAGAATCAATTCCAAAAATGAGTTAATTAGGTCTCATTTAAAACGAGTCAATTTGAATTACTTACCTCATCCCCAAACAAAATGGATTAATTTGAGATTTCCTTGGCCAAATTGATTCATCCAATTTTTTTTCGACAAACAATTTAATTTGGGCCAATTGTCTCAAAACGAGATAATTGAGTCCAATGGAGCCGTTTTGAGTCCATTTAAGTTCTCTAGGGTAGAGGTATCTAATCCGAATTGACTCGTTTTAATTGTTTTGTTTCATAAATTCAGAATTGCAGACGATTGACCAAATTGACTAATTTTTGAATTGATCCATCCAAACAACCCTTAATTTTTCAGTAATTAAATATTTTTCTTAATTTACCAAAATATCATCATCCATTTCCCTTATTCCCCATTCCCCTACCCTTCCCAGTTCCGGAAAAAATCCCAAGTTACACATGTTTTTTAAAAAAATTCTCAAAATACACACGTTATGAAAATAATTCCCAATCTACGTTAGTTTGGGCCATCACCGCTGTCGACGAAGACAATGATTGCATCACTGTTGTCGACGAAGACAGTGATTGCATCACCGCTGTCGACGAAGACAGTGATTGCATCACTGCAGTACACGGCCGCGGTGAAGGCCTGACCTGCGTCGAAACTTTAAACAAACGTAACTTTGTGCTCGGTTATCCGATCGTAGCGAAATTTTTTTTGATTCCGCATAATTTTTCGAGATCTTGCAAGCCGCAAATGGCCGTAGGCGGTTTGGTCCCGCCTTCGTCTCGAAAATATGTCGTTTGCTACCCCGAACGAGCCTTTTTTCGATTTCGTCAAATTTTGAACGACCATAACTTTGTGCTCCACAATCCAAAAATCATGAATTTTTTTTTTATTTCGCATAACTTTTTAAGGACTACAATTTTTATCATAGACATATTTTCGGAATGTACTTGGATTCCTGAAAAGGAAGGTAAAGTTATTCCCAAAACCCCTTATATCCATAAATAATTCATTTTTTGAAAATTCTCTCGTACTAAATATTGTAGTCCTTAAAAAGTTATACGAAATCAAAAAAAAATTCATGATTTTCGGATTGTGGAGCACAAAGTTATGGTCATTCAAAGTTTGACGAAATCGAAAAAAGGCTCGTTCGGGGTAGCAAACGACATATTTTCGAGACGAAGGCGGGACCAAACCGCCTACGGCCATTTGCGGCTTGCAAGATCTCGAAAAATTATGAGGAATCAAAAAAAATTTCGCTACGATCGGATAACCGAGCACAAAGTTACGTTTGTTTAAAGTTTCGACGCAGGTCAGGCCTTCACCGCGGCCGTGTACTGCAGTGATGCAATCACTGTCTTCGTCGACAGCGGTGATGCAATCACTGTCTTCGTCGACAGCGGTGATAGCCCAAACTAACGTAGATTGGGAATTATTTTCATAACGTGTGTATTTTGAGAATTTTTTTTAAAAACATGTGTAACTTGGGATTTTTTCCCCCAGTTCCACAGCCTCCTGCCGAGCTCGAGACCAACGAATTGCTTTTTCCGCCATTAAAGAGTAACATCAGCAAAGTTAGACAGAGTCGAAGGGCAGCTGTTGTTGTTTCTCGTTATCGTGAATTAATTCGCAGTCTGACGTCCCCGCAGGGAGTCCCTTAATCTGCCACGATACAGATCTGAATCGAGCTTCTAAGGCCCAGCGGAGTATCAAAGTCGCTGAAGCTCCGCGGCGCCAAGACTGGTCTTTTTCGTCGCTTCTCCGCGGAGACGATAAACCCATCGTAGGTCTACCACAAGTAGTCGACGGTGGAGTGGAACTCACGATTGTAGTCAGATCTTGAGCACTCGCTTAAACGAGCTCCCGACAGTCGTTGCAGTCCAGCTGTTTGACAAAAGTTCCCAAAGAGTTCAGTCTTTTCGAAGAACCAGATTGATACACCATGCGACGGTTATTTGCAAGGATATTGAGAAGCTCTTCATCTTCAACTACGTTCTTCCGCCGACCGAATTGCACTCTGGCCACCCGATCGGTGAATTCGAGTATTCGAAATCTCAAAGAAGGACAAGTCATCCCGGGGAAGTTCATCAAATGGGCGTCACTAGGGTTCGCGAGGGCTTCAAGTTTTGCCTCTGGGTTCACTCCGTTGGAGCCAAAGCCGCTGGAATCGATCATGGATGTTGAACGGGCCAAGCATAAGTCACCCGAGGAACTCGCTTCTGCCTGGGACGATGTAATGTGACTCTGATTTCATTTTATGGTTTTGATGCGCTTAGTTTGGTTCAAGCTTCTTTACATGGAAAATTGAGTTAATTTTCTAGCGCTTAGTTTGGCTCAAGCTTCTTTACATGGAAAATTGAGTTAATTTTCTAGTCTGATCAATGGTGCTGGTTCAATTTTGATGTATACCAATGAGGATGTGTCGAAGAAGAACTTAGAGAATTGGGTTTTCTGTGCAAGGAAGTTTAAACGGGAAATGTAGATCAGTGAAGGGCTAGCACCGGTTCATTTAAGTCGTATTGTATATTCAACAATGACTTGCTGTGAAGAATGAATCCTTTTTTCATCCTTGATGTTCTAGTATCTCTTTTGTTTATGCAAAAGAAAGCATCTTGATGTGGACTTGTGATCTCGTTTTCACTTTTTCTATTGGCATAATATGGCAGTATCACCTGGGGAGAGGTCACATTGGAGCATCCATGAAGGCCAAGCTTTACAATTTGCTAGTCCAAAGAGCAGCAGACTGGTAATTGCCGTTGCACCAATTCTTTAGTCATTTTGTAGTAGAATCTAAGTCCTTTCTTCACTATCTGACTTGTTGCTTTGATGATCGCAGCAAGTATTTTGTCATCCCATTGTGGAAGGGATCTGGCTATACTACAATGTTTGCACAAGGTTAGTTTCCTCAGAACTTTCTTCGGTTGCTTTTCTTGCAGAATGGTTAGAGAAAATAATTTGCAATGTATGGTAGTTTTTTGGTCGTTTTTGTTGGGTGTTCAGAAGATGATCCAGTTCATGTCGTTACTCTGGTAGCTTTGATGGATGTATACTTGAGCTTACCTCCTGTAGCCTTCGGATGAATAATATGATCTCAATGGAACGATTACCCAGGCAGTACAACCAATTAGAAGTGAATCGGAGAAGGTGTCAGCGGAAGCAATTGTTAGAAGCAGAAGCGTGTGTAATAGTATTTTTGGAACTAGTGATTGATTCTGGTGAAATGATTCGGTAGTTCTTTTCTAGAATGCTTGAGAACTACCAAAATAAACGAGTTGTTTGAAATAACTAGAATGACCACACAAACACTCGGAATTTGTAGAAGAGAAATGGGTAGAATTGGAAATCTTCACAAAGATATAGTACAGTGGGGTTCACATCAGTTTCAAATTAGATTTTAACAGCAGAACCCGGAAGTTGGAAGAGTGCGTTTGATTGAGAAACTTGGCTATTGGATAATTTGGAGGAACTACCAGTGTTAACTACAGCTGTTTTAGCTGCTTACATGTTTTGTGCAATACCTTTTCGTGCAGTGCAAACACCATACATCATCTTCACGGGTCTTGAAGATTACAAGGCGAGGGGAACTCAGGCGGCTCCATACTTTACAGTCTCCTTCTACACTGACTTTGCAGATAGCAAGGACTTGGTTCTCGTACGAGGAGATATCGTGTTCACCAGCAAACTCAGCGACGAAGAGGCACAATGGCTGTTAGAGACGGCTCAGTCTTTCTATCTTAATGACACGAGGTACAAGCTCGTAGAACGATTCAACAGGCAGACTCGCGATTTCGAGTTCAAGGATGTTCTCCAGGCACTAAACATGCCCATCCTGTGAAGACAGCAAAGAAAATTGGTGCACAGCAGAAACGCAGAAAATAGTGAAACCAGGGGTGCCTGATTGAGATTGACAGGCTCCTTCCTGAACTATAGATCCAACGCTGTTATGGTATCACGGATTCTGTCCATGGCATGAGCAGTTGTAGGTCTCTCTTTCCATCCTGCTACATAGTCCACCTAGAGATAATCATCTTTCTTCTTTTGTTTGATGTAATAATCTTAGAACCGAGCTTAGAGGCTCAACCCGGCTTAAGTTTCTCATTTTGATGAGAGGGGACTTGAAGCTGAGATTGCATTGTGGTTGGAAGTTGGTGAGTTTAAGTTGTCTTTCAAATAATTTACAACTAGTCAACTACAGCATTCTGTTTTTTCCTCTTCTACTATTTTGTTCCTAATTTTTTTTACCTCACTTTGGAAACATTATTAAAAATGATATTTAGTTAATATTTTCATTCACAAATTGACATTGTCATGCACTGTCAAATCGTGGTCCGGACGATATGACCTTGATAAATTGGGAAGAGAAACAACAATTTCGCCTCTCCCTTTTATTTCATAATTCTCGTTAAAATGAAATTATTAAGGGTATTTAGTTATATGACATGAACAAAAATATTTTTATTGCTCATATCATGGTTTGATTTCGATTAACAATTTTTGAAACAAAACTTCACAATAGGACATGTTTAATAATATTTCTAAAGTACAATAATATTTCTTATGTGACAAATAGTAGATGAACATACTAATAAAAATATTATAGTAAAAAAAAACATATTTTGCCTATAAAAACAAGTATGCAAGCACCAAAAATGTCATTAGTCCAATTGCAATCTCTTCATATGTAATTTTCTTCCCGAGGGATACGACGCCGTTGGAGTCGGGGATGGCGATCAAAGAAACTTCACTGATTAATCACTAGCCTCTGACTTTGTTTTCCAGCTCACTTCAGCTTCCTTCTCCCCTTGCCTGCCTCACTCGTCCCTTTCTTCGCTCGAAGAGCGCAAAACCCAGCAAAACCCCTGCACGACGAACCCTTCCCCAATTCGAAATTATACCTCTGATTCTGTGTCAAGCTTTGAACCATCGCATCCGAATCCTTGTGTTCTTCCTCCTTCGAATTGTTCGAGTTCCCTGTTCTCTCGTTCCTTCCTTCCCATTTTCAGCAACTGGTTTCGGAGAGCCCCCGCCCCTTCCGTCTTCGCCATAATGACCGACCTCAACGACGATTCCATTCACATTGAGAAGCTCTACGAGTTCGGCGAGCGCCTCAACGAGGCTAAAGACAAGTCTCAGGTTCGCCATCCCTAACTTCACTCCTCCATCTCCCGCTCCCTCTGCAGCTCAGAGTTTCTAGGGTTTGTCCTATTTTCCCGCTCTTTCCACTTGCTGCTGCTGATGAAGGTTTTGGGTTTTGGTGGGTTCTGGTGCGGATTCTGTTTTTCTCTCGCAGAATGTCGCGGATTACCAAGGGATTATTGATGCCTCCAAGACTAGTTTGAAGGCGAAGCAGCTGGCGGCACAGCTCATCCCGCGCTTCTTCAAGTTCTTCCCTGAACTCTCTAACCATGCTGTTGAAGCTCATCTGGATTTGGTTGAGGAGGAAGACCTTCGGGTGTGTACGCTTTTTTCCTTTAAAAAAACGTTCATTCGTCTTGGGTGCTGATATGTGGAGTTGTGCAATTTGTGCTCATTGATGTTAATGGATGCAAGCTTTGCTTATATGGTATCTGGAGAATGTAATTCCTTATTCAGACCATGCTTTTGTTGTTAGTTTGTGTATGAAAATGTGCAGAATCAAATTGAGGATTTCTCTGCTTATTACTTGTTCGTTGTCTATATAGGTGAGGGTACAAGCAATTAGGGGTCTGCCGCTTTTCTGCAAGACCCCTGACTATCTATCCAAGATTGTGGACATTCTTGTTCAACTACTTACGGCAGGTAGATAAGATTTTATTACTTTCATTTTGAAGTTTTGGGTTCGCTGCCCTTAGGATAGGATGCTAACTTTATTTGATGGTTTCCAGAGGAAGTTGTAGAGAGGGATGCCGTGCACCAGGCCCTCATGTCCTTGTTGAGACAGGATGTTAAATGTAAGTAGTTACACTTTGTATTCACATTTGCTGCTGTATATAAAAAGGGTTTTGGGCTGGGGATGATGTGATGTGAAGTTGGAAATTTAACAATGGTTGACTAACCCCACATAGGAGTAGGATACTGTATATACTCTCTGCTCAAGCATGCCATTGTCTCACGGTTATGGGACTCTCTTGTCCTGCAGCTTGCCTTACTGACTTATTCAAACACATTTGCACCATTGATGAACAAAGTGCAGAGGACACTTTCCGTGAGAAAGTTCTCAGCTTCATAAGAGACAAGGTAAGAATCATTGGTTGTTGTTTGAGTTGGCTATTGTTTGGTGATACCAAACTAACTGGTAGTTTTCAGGTTTTCCCACTCAAAGCTGAACTCTTGAGGCCTCAAGAGGAGATGGAACGACATATAACTGATTTGATTAAAAAGGTAGCATACGTTTCTGTAATGTTTGATGGCTTGGAATTAATAGTTCTTTTCTCCCCTCTTTTTGGTGGAAGTCGTACTTATTTTTGACGATGTGTAACTTTTGCAGAGTTTACAAGATGTAACTGGTGCTGAATTCAGGATGTTTATGGATTTCTTGAAGAGTTTGAACATGTTTGGGGATAAAGCTCCTCCTGAGCGCACAAAAGAACTTGTTGAAATCATTGAAGGGCAGGCTGATCTAGATACACAGTTCAATGTGAGTGCTTATTGTCTTCGCTATTTCCTGGTAGATTTTATCATGAACAGTTTTTGAATATGCCATCATACGGTTCATGAAGAACCGAAAGTGCACTAGTAGCACTGTCAATAGGTTCTGTAGCCCACTATTAAGTTACAAGCTTGATCAGGTTTAGATGTCAAAAGTTATCACTTGCTGGTACTTTTGATTCTTTGTTTACTACGCACTCTTGGCTCAGAAGCTCAATTGATTCTGAGCATTCTGTTACCACCGACATGAATGGGTACCTTATGTCTCTGCTTACATTCCTGAACGAACATGAAATATTGCCTATAAGCAGAAGCTACAAAAAAAATCTTAAATGAACTTAGTTTGCTTATTGTTCTCTAGAAGCTTAGGTGGCTAGCGGGATCTTGAGAGTCATGGTTTTATTTTTAGCACTGTAGCTGTTGATGTTGTTATATGCTGTAAATGTCTTGTAATATTTGACATGTTGCTCCATGCATGAGTTGATAGGTTGCCATCCCACTTCTAGTAGTCCAATGTTTGGGTATTTGGTTTGTTTTTTATTTGATGTTGTTCTTAAGTCTTAACACGAGTTGATTGGAATATGATGCAGGTTGAAGATGGAGATCATATCGATAGATTAATTGCATGCCTTTACATGGCAGTTCCATTCTTTTTGGTACGAACTTCTACATTTTAGCTTCAAGTTTGGTAGAAAGGCTAATTTCACCATTATCAAAAAGTTTGGCGGAAAGGCTAAATATTTTATATCAATATGGTCTGACCTCTGTAATTTTAATTACAGAGAGGTGCATCCAGTTCCAAATTTCTCAACTATCTGAACAAGCACATAATACCCGTTTTCGATAAGGTATTACACGTGCTTTCTACTCGACATGTATGTAGAATGCAACATAATTTTTAGCTAGTGAAAGTAATAATTTGGTTCTTTCTTCCCTTCAATTATTGAGATATAATCTGTTAAGGGAGTCCCTCTCTGGTTTTGAGTTGATAATGTGAACTCCTGTGATGAACTGATGATCTTGTAGGATGCAACTTGGGGTAACCTGAAATCTAGGGACATAATTGCATTCTGTCAGCATATTTAAGATAATTGACCACCACAAGCTAGTAAATCTCCTTTTGAAAAGTACTATGACCTAGTAAATGTTTTAAGTTGGTGCTTGTTTGTGTTTTTCCTTTTTATTATTTTATTAGTGAGATCAGAGGTATACTTTATCAAGGAAGTCCTCGGGGTTTAAATTAATACTTTTTTTGACATTCTGAGATAAATTTTTTAGTCTGTAGAGTCTCAACGTGGATCTTGAGCTAGGCTGTCTCATATGCTTTATTCAACTACACAACTTTGTTCAGCCTTCCTGAAAACTGTTACTGATTTCGGGTTTCACATCAACGATTTCTTTCTTTGTTGCTATACTGTTTTGACACTTACCTTGCGTTCTTTGGCGTCTCTTTAGCTGGTGGAACTTACATCTATTAAATTAAAGTCATCCAGCATAAGAAGAGTACTAACAAAGGCTTTCTTTTCTTTCCATTGTCAGCTTCCTGAAGAACGAAAGCTTGATGTACTTAAAGTGCTTGCAGAAAGCTCTCCGTACACCACTCCTCAAGATTCTCGCCAGATTCTTCCTTCTGTTGTTCAACTCTTGAAGGTGTGCATTATCTTTCACGTTGGATTAAGTAGAGTCTTCTTTTCTCCTCTTTTAAGAAAGAAACTTTGTCTGCTAATCTTGTTTAATTTTCCTTGTGTCTTTTCAATATTCTCAGAAGTACATGCCACGAAAGAAGACGGGAGAAGAAACAAACTTTACATATGTCGAGTGCTTATTATATGCTTTTCACCATTTGGCAAACAAGGTTGATATACTATCCTTTTACCCTTCGTCGTTTTTCTTTCTGTACTATCACTTTATGCTAATTTTATTGTTTCAACGTGAAGGCTCCGAATGCCACAAATAGCCTATGCGGTTACAAGATAGTAACAGGCCAGCCCTCAGATAGACTTGGCGAGGACTTTTCTGAGCTCTACAAGGATTTCAGTGAGAGGTAGATCAATTCGTACACAAGCTCATTCCTATTACATTCAATCTGAATGGAGCAGCTCTGGTTATTCTGAAAGCTGTAGAGTCTAACTAGTAAAATTTTCTAGCTGGTTCTCATCGTGCATTGGATCAAACTGAATCAACCCACAGACCATCTAAAATTTTATAATTTCCTTCTGGTTATATGTTTTTGCTAGCACCATTGAAATTTGGGTCCATGATTTCCACAAAAAAAGAAACTGTGCAGCTGCTATGAAGTGAGATTTTGATGAAATATGGGCAGTATATTACTAGAAGTTCCAAATTTGTTATTAGAAAACAGAGATGCAATCTTAAAAAAATGTCCAAATCAAGATCTGATCTCAAAGAATGAGCAGTTTCATACTGACTAGCCTCTTTTCAAGTATAGTAGGACTAATGTAGACTGCAATCAATTGTCATTTTCATATTTACAGGCTGACTAGTGTGGAGGAGCTTACTAGGGCTACATCAAAAAAATTGACTCAGGGAATGGCAGAGCATAATAAAGCTATGTCCGCAGCTAAGTCAGAGGAAGCCAAGGATGCAATTGTAAGTTAAAATTGTGTGGGAACATGATGATTATACAGTTGTCCATTTCTGTAGTCTCGTGGTAATGTGCATCTTATGATGATGTTCTTTCTCCATTTCTTATATATGCAGAAAATTCAGAAGCAAAAGGCAACAACTGGATTGAGAACCTGCAATAACATTTTGGTGATGTCAAAGGTGAGAGCCAGAATGGTATCACTGGCGTTAGCCGATTTTGCCTCTTTATACTCGTACCCTAAGAATTGTGACTTCTTTGCAGCCTTTGCATGCAAAAACGCCTTCATTCATCGGAGATAAGAGCATCAACCTTTCTTGGAAAGAAGCAATAAAACCTTCAGTACCCTCCAACCCCGCTGCAACTGGGTACTTAAAACTTAACTGCCTAGTGCTCTTACCTTTGAATGAGAAACATGCTTTGAAATGGACAGTCCTTGCCTCCTTGGGCATCTTTCTGAGTTTGACAAACATTTCTTCCTGCAGAGGCAAACGACCTTCAACAGCTCTTAATGGATCAGGGAACCTAGCAAAGAAGGGGCGTGGTGGCGGGGGCACGCAGAACCAACTCGTGAATCGGGCTTTCGAAGGCATCGGTAGAGGCAACACACGCGGCAGAGGCAGGGGTAGGGGCTGGGGTGGCCGTGGAAGAGGCAGAGGAGGTTTTTGGTAGACATGCCGAATGAGAAGTGACACACGTAGGGAGAGAGTGGATTGGGCGAAACGACACACAAGCATGGTAAAGTTGGTTCGACTACGAGTCATTTCAGAACTCGAAAGAGGACTGTTGGAAAAGCGTTATAGCGGAACCAAGAGGTAGTCCTCCACAGATCTCACCCTCTTGATGTATCGCCGCCGATCTTAATTCTTGTGGAGGCTGTTCGTTGTGGATTGAATTTTGGACAAAAACCACCTCCAAGTTCTAACCAGTTAGACTTAGTCGAGTCTGCGTTGTTGATTTGTAGTTTGTGATCTCACACGTTGAAGGCTGAAACAGAGCAAAACTATTTTTAGATTGTTGTATTCAGTTAGATAAAAGTAAACTACGCGGTTAACCTGATGGATGTGGTTTGTATTGAGGTTTTGCTTGCTTTTTTTTTTTTTTATGTTTCTACTCGAGATTAATTTGTACTTGCATGCAAAACCCCAGCTTGGATTCTGTCAGGTTATTGTGAGAGTAAGGATAACGAAATTGTCTCCGAGGTTGTACCGAAAAAAGCTAGCAGTAGGGTATTTTGTACGAAAATTTCTCCGAGGTTGTACCGAAAAAAACTAGCAGTAGGATATTTTGAACGAAAATTGTGGTTCAATTAGTTTATACTGCTAAAAACGGTCTTGGGAAAGCAAAAGTATAAAGAAGAGAAGCTAGTTATATATCTGATCTCACTAATTAGGTTTAGCTCATCTACAAAGCTGTCTCCACAATCATGATTAACGTTCCCCAAACCTCCCCCTCTCTCTCTCTCTCTGCATTACCTACATTTCAGTTACCCTGATGCTTGCAGAAAACATTACACGCTCCCTAGCTTCTCTCTCTCTTAATCACTGCAACAATTTGCTGCACACAATCCGTGGTACAATTCAACATGTCCTACCCAAACCACCTGAAACAAAAGGACAGTTTCCTCTGTCCGCCACCAGAATCCTGTCGGAATTTCAACCTCTGTCTTCCCCTGCTGTCCGTGGAGCCAAACCCAACTAATTCACCCTCTTCTCTACTCTAGACTCTAGAGACTCTGCAACTTACCCCACACCATTGCTCATCACAGCTTCAAGCTGAGATCAAGACCCTCATCTCCTCTTGTCATCTCTCTTCCACTCACGAAACTCAACTCTGTCTCAGCTTGATCCATCTCCTGCTGCCCTCCTTCATCTTCAGGAACTATAAAGCTGTAGAAAGGTAATTTGTTCGCTGGACGGTCCATGGTTCTATTCGTTTCCTGATCCACACCAATCGGAAATTTTGTTCATAATTGGTTTTGACAAAGATTCTCCATTTTTGGAAATTAGCCTGAAATTCTTTTTTACCTGATGTGGCATCGGAGGATTGAAGTTCAAGTGCTGTTGTTTAGGAATGCGAGTTGTTGTTGTTGGACAGCCTAGTAAGACGAAGCTGCCCTGCCCTTCTGCAAAAGCTGGATCTTTACTGTTACTGTTCCCACTCCATCTTCTCGAACTCTGCTCTTCACAAGGATAAGAAGAACTCTGTCCTCTGCAAAGAAACAGAGCAACAATCGGCCAAAAGGGAACCATTAATGGCTGAAAATCCTTAAGAAATTGAACAATTTCAAGATTTTCGAGGAGGACAGACCTGTAATTTGCGTTGTAGTGGCTACCCGGTGAAAATGTGGAGACTGATTCGGTCACTTGAGGTAAATAGGAAGGAACTTGATAGCGGAAGACTGGGATTTGAGGTACATCCATGGTGTACGGACACGATCTCTTTGTCCCAACCATCTTCACATAAACCCAAAACGAAAACAAAAAACAGTGGAAATTCGTTAGAGAAGGTGGTCTGTTCAAAATGTGGGGGAAAAGATTTGAACTTTCAAAGAGAAAAGAAGACCCAGAAACCTTGAAACTCACGCTAGGTGTATCTTCCTCTGGCAATGAAACAGGGGACCGGCGATACAATGCTGTTTGGTTTGAAGGGGGCTCTGCTGCTGAAGAATTCTGTGGGAACAAATTCATCTGCAAATTTGTCAACGAAAACTTCAGAATAATCATGGAAAGATCTCCAAACAAAGGCGAAAACTTTTCTTTCTGTTTTACCATGGCGGGGCAGGAGGAATGTTGCTGGCTCCTTTGAAAAAAAACAGGGGAAGGAACCGCTTGCTGGTCAGAGGATCCATTACTCCCCAAAAGTGGAGAGAAAGGGAACCGAAATTCCGATTTGCTGCAATTTCCAGCATCGTGGCTGCTCTCGCCGGGATTCCAGCTCGTGGGTTGTGGTAGAAAGCTGTAAAGTTGCGACCTTGGAGGAAAAGCAGGGGTTTTAGTGGCAGAGCTTGACAGAGGAGGAGGAGGAGAAGACGGAAGTGAAGAACCCGCCGCCGCCGCCGGAGGTGGCGACGGCGACGGCGGATGAGGTGGTGGAGGAACCACCGCCACGTCACTGGTGGTGCTGGCCTTTTTATGGTCTCCTTGTTCTCGCAGGATCTTCTCCAGCTCAGCCACGCCGGGGCCTCGCTTCGGCACTCTCTGTTTCTTTGACGGCGCCGTCTTCTTCGTCAACCAACAGCTACTAGCACTTGGGCTCTCTCCGTCGCCGGCGCCGCCGTTGCCGGCGGTGGTACACATTGAACTTTTCTCCTTTTCTCAAGCTGCTCCCGAGTGGGGAAAATCTACCATTTAAATAAGCAGAGAGAAAATTCAGATGAAGTTCGAAGAATCGATGTGAATCAAGATCGATCCCCCAAGAATCTAAAAAAAAAACAAGTAACGAAGAAAATGGGGGGAAAATCTAATTTCTTTTTTATTGGAGAGATATTATGAGGTTGGAAAGGGATGGAAAGATCATCTCAATCGATCTCCCCTGTTTTAAGGCTCCATTGAAGATCGTTTTCTTGGAGTACAATGTGGCAGAGAGGGGAGAGAGAAGAGGCAAAAATGAAAAAAAACAGAGTAATCAAAATCGAGAGAATGTGTATCTATATGGCGACTTGATACTTAAGCTTATTATTATTTCTAAATTATTATTATTAGGTGGATACTCTTTGACATTCTCAATCTAATCACAAAAAAGATTCTCTGATTATTAGCAGCATGTAAATATTTTGTTTGAGTTTATCTACTCTGTTCTCTATTTTTTTCTTAATGAAATTGATCTCTAGTATTAAAATAGGGTAGTAAAATGACCAAGATTCAAAATGACTTAATTTTTAAACCAATGTGGTCAATGAGTTTTGCTATGTTTGTGGAAGGTCGCTGTGATATAATTTCGTTCGGATCGTGTAGTAAGAGTTATAGATTGTTGGAGGGAAAACTTGGAATCTACTAGATCGTAAGATTTAGCAGTGTCAACTGGTACTAATGCTTATAGGGCAAATTAACCAAATTGATGAACCAATTACATTCCAATCTAAGGGTATTTATACCAAAATAATTACAAGTGTGAACATGAGCTAATCTGATTAAAATAGGTACAACAAATACCAATTACGTTATGATAAAATAGTTATCCTCTATATAGGTCATACACAAAAAGTCTATAAAACTCTTTTTAGAACCAACAACATGTTCGTGCATATAATGCTCACTGTCATCGATAAACAACATCGAGACACTTCAAATACCATTCCTTCAAATTAATCAAATTCGTCGCAACTAAGAATACCGATACTTATTCAAATGATTCCACCGAAGGAAGTCTAGTTTCAAGAACAACATGTGTTTCAATTTACTAACAAGAGAAAACACACAAACCTATATATGTTTAGTTACTGTATTTATATCCATTCACCATACCATATTTATATCTATATATATTCATGATTTTCTTCATATTTTTCAAGTTTGATGGTCCTCACCAAAAAGATTTGTGCAGTGATATTTTTCAATTACATTTTTTCCTTTTTGTATATTTATATTATTTTTTCTAGTACCAGAAACAACCTATGAAGTGTACTAACAATAGGCCCATCTCAAAAATCTTGGGAAATCTTTGCCATATATAAAACAGAACCAGAACAGCCAGTTTTAGCAATCCCAATTTACTACTAGAAAACGTCAGCCATTGTCAGAGAGGAGGAACTGTCTGGTTCAGCTCCCCTTGTTTTGGCAGCCATGCAATATATACAACCCTTCTCTTTATTGTTTTGTTCTTTGGTCCCTCCCTTTACTTCTCTTTATGAATTAGTACATCATTGGTTGTATTATTGTATTTGTATCCCAATCTGATTTGATCATTATGATATGTTTTATACTAATATGATTTGGATTGCGGTACAAACTACGTGGTGATAAAACCTATAAAATTCGCATCTTGTCATTGCCGATACAAATAATACCACCTCATGATAATGATCATATTATGGTAGTATGATTCGAAATAGGATTATGAAACACGTGATTTTAGGAGTTTTGAATTTTGTATCCTGTTCCCTCCACCCTCAATATAACATAGGGTCGTTTGGTTTTGGTGATATTTAAATCAATGTGCGGTAAATGCATGTATTGTAATATACATGCAATTTAGGAAAATGATGTAATGCACTTTACATTGTTTGGTTTTGGTGATAGTTTTTTAGTATTCAACATGTTATATTACTTTTTGTGAGAAAGATAAATTTTGCCCTTGCTTTTATGAGACCATATATATATAATTAGGGATATACTTGGAACAAAAAGGGAACCAAACAATCTCCTCAAAACAATCTCAACAATCTCAAGTTTTAGTAGAGATAGTAATATCACTCATTTTGAGTGATAGTTTCCATCACATCAAGCAAACAATGCATGTATTGTTTATGCAGGAAATTCAAAAAAGTAATGCATTGTGGACAATACATGCATTGTAACTATCTCAATCAAACAATCACCAAAACCAAATGACCCCATAACCAGTGGCGGTTCCAGAAATTTTACATAGGGGTGTCCTCTTCAAAAATTAAATTAAATTAAATTATTATTAAATATGAAAATATATGACTAATAAAAGTTACATTAAAAGTACAGACATGTTTCGTAAAATGGTAAAATACATTCGGTGTCTATACTGCTCAACAATGATATTTCGACATATCCTACTAGAAAAGGGTATCCAGTAATTGGGTTTAACCGTTAGGTTATACAAATAATTTGGGATAAGAATAACATTTTACTATTATATTTGGATCTAAAACACAATAACAAATGAGTTGTAGTGTAATTGAAAATATGTTTACTAATAGTGGCAGTGTCTCAAGTTTAAATCACATAAACTACTACTAAAATATTATTTGTACTAATACGTAAACTACTATGGGAGGTTGGATAATCGTTTTCCCAAATTTTAAGGGTGTCCCACTACCACTTAAACATTTTTTTTCCTCATATACAAATTACTATCGGAGGTTGAATAATCGTGTTTCCAAATTTTATGGGTGTCCCAGGACACCCATAGACATGCATGTATCCGCCCCTGCCCATAACTATATATGAATGAGAGCAATCTGGAAGCCATATTGTTTCAATAACGTGTTGGTGAAAAACGTATACATATATTATCTTCATGTTTGACTATATAACAACGAATACAAAATCTCCATACAGAAAACGTATACCCATCTCTCTATACGAAATTCATGAAAAATACCTCAATTCAACGCTGGTTGAGAGCTAAAAAAAGCTCTCGTTTTTTGTTCCCCGACCTATAAACTATTCTTCCCATCATGAATCACTTCTCATAATATAGCATAACACATGTAAACATCTATTAATGTAGAAAGTTACTAACATGACAATTGTATTATGTACCATGTGATTCCCAATCCACAAGTGTGATTCTTGTTTTCCCCTCTTTCGTGTTGGCATATACATTTTTTGGGGTTCTACTCTTTTGATGCTAGGATACTCGAAATATTGCACCAATCACATGGGGGAAAGAGTACTATAGGTGATGATGAGTCACAAATCTTGACTCATTATGAGCAAAGAGATCTCCAATGACCCATCTCAAGAGTTAGTACCCTATTTCTCCCTCTCTTCCTTTTTCCAAATGCCAACTTGGAGAATATATATATATGGCAGGATCTCTGAAAGTTAAGAATGCCCAAAAATGAACTTCAACGATTGTCATCTAACAGGCTTTGGGAAAGGGAATGTGTACATATACAAAACAAACAAACAAGAAGGAATTGCTTTCTTTGTCTATCTATCCAGAAAACCATGTGATGGTACATGTAGAATGATATCAAAGCTCTCTCTGGCGTGTGAGCAAATGAAGAGAGAGAGAGAGGGTCTCTTTCTATTAGGGGTGATGGTTAGGTTTCGGTTTTTCGATTTTTTTGGGTTTATCGGTTTCTCTTAACGGGTAAAAATTGTTAAGCTCGTCACGTTTTTGGTTTTGGTTAAAATTGAAAACCGTTTATAGACCGTTAAGCTTTAACATAATCGAATATTCATTTTCGGTTTTCCTGTTTATTCTAATAGAAACCGAATCCATTAAGGACTTACCAATTTTCTGCTAACCGAAAACAGATAATCTCTTAACGATTTCGATTTTGTGCAATTGACTAATTCAGATAACAATCTTTTATTCGATTAACCGAACCAAAGCAAACCAAATCGCCACCCCTGCTTTCAATATAGATGTACTAGCTAGCTTGTAAAGAGAAAAGCATTGAGGACAGGTTGTAACAAACTTGATGGAGGCTGGGGGGGTCACATAACCAATTTTAGGTATGCCCACTGTCAGGACAGCAATAAGAGAGAGAGAGAGGCCTCGAGGGGAAACCCTAATAAAAGGACACAAACAGAAAAAGAAGAAGAAGAATTTGCAGCAAAACGACACAAAATTCTGCTGGGGGTGTGATAGACCAGTTGAATGATTAAAGAATAGAATTGGATTTCTATAAGGGTATATATACACAACACAAGTTGATGTCCCAAGTTAATTTGAGGACAAGATGTCCCAAGAAGAAAAATGTTGTAGCAGTGTTAGGTTTATATTGTACACATGGGTGGAAATCGATACTGTATCGGTGGACCAATATCAAATATTGAAATCCTGAATACTGAATTATACCTGAAAGTCAATCCCAATACCAATCCTAAATAATTTCGGCATCCTAATCCCAATCCCTTAATATTCTGGTATCCCAATCGATACTTCGGTATCTCAATCGGTATTATCGAATACAAAATTAATTACATTTGAAATAAATAATTAAATATATGAATTAGATTTGATTGTTTAGTTTAGGCCAAAGAGACTAAGCAAATAGCCTTGAGTTTGCCTAGAGCTAGGATATGGATAAGGAGAATGAAGGAGAGGTGATATCTCAAGTTCTTGTCATTGGTAATATTTAATTTGATGAATTAAAGACCGAGAGTCGACTAATACTAGTGTTTGCTTTTTGGTGTTATGAAAATAACAAGTTATTATGTGCGAGATGAGAGTGACTTAAATTGAAAAGTCAAAATTGAGTTGGATGGGGACTTTTGAGTTGTGAAACAAAGATGAAATGATCTAGGTATAATTAAATGACACTCTTGGTGGTTGAGGGTTGTGTAGTAGTGAATGAGAGAGTCTAGTCCAGAGAATAAAATACACACTAGCTTATATTTCGGTATTGATCGGTATTTCGGTATTTATCGATCTCAATCCCGTAATCCCTAATACCAAATTACAATTGAAATTCAATTCCAAGAAATAATACGTGTATTCGGTAATACCAAATATAGACAAATTCGATACGGTATTCGGTATATCCCAAATACCGGTACCAAACTTCCAGTCCTACATATGAAGTTGCATAGGCGGAGGGAGGGCAGTTTGCCCTTGTCCCAGGACAGGGGCAAATTTTGGGAGGGAAAAAAATAATCCTATATATGTTTGAACGGAGAATAAACTCAACACCTATAAGTAATATAAGGATATGTTGGCACTACACTATAATTCATTACTTGTTCATTAATTCTGAAAGAATAATTAATTTATTGGTTTCATTCATGACACTATTATTCGACAACAGATTGTTGGGTATTATAATGATGAGAGATTTGTTGGATTGAAAGAAATTGATAAATGATCTCAGATCATGGTGGAAACAAAAGTGCATAGGTT